CCTTTACATTTCCAACCCTCACAATCAGTCCTGATAACAATTATTAGCTATTGTATCACAAGAGACCTATCCACATTTCCTTTCATCAGCCCCACCTAGACAGATTGGATACTACTCAGTGGAGATTCTACCTTCCTCCACACCCTCTGGATATAGATTCTCTCTTGAAAGCTTGTAAGGAAGGCAGTCACTTCTTGCCTTTGTAGCCCCCCGCCCCCTCATTTTGGGTAGCCAATGTCCAAGTTGCCCAGTCCTGTCTACTCTGTATATGGAGGGGGTGGGAATGATCCTTGCTGTAAAGATTTGTTCGCGTTTTTGAGCTACTGCATCCATAGGTGTAGGTGAAGTTCATCAAAGTGTATCAGATTACTCCTTTTTTTTTCCCTCTTCTTTTTTCTTCTAGTTAAGCTCTGACCATCCAGTCATTGAAGCCAGGTCAACTGGGTATTATTTCCAAGTGTGGATGTTCTTGTGCATATGCCCTCTCTTCTTATCAGCTGGATGCTTCACTCTCCACTCTAGTCCTCTGTGGCTAGGTCGCTGACTCTGGGCCCAAGAGTCCCCAGGTTTTGCCACACTGCTGGCTAACCAGGTCTCTACCCGGGTTTACAGGAGTCTATTGAACATGGTAGGTCTTAGCTCGCAGCTTCATTGCTGTTGTTCCCTCCCTTCCCCTTAACGGTGATGAACATGGTCACCAATTAGAGCGTGTATTCCCATTGAGTCTTAGCCTTGGAAGGGGGTTTGCTCTGAGGGTCCCAAACACTTCCCTTGATGTCTCCTGGGCGAGCAACTTGCTTGTTCTTGTAGTAAGCAGTCGGTCTGCCATTATTGTTTTGTATTTTTCCTGTCGGTCTTTCTTTCAAGAAGTGTCTTCTATTCTTCTAGCCACTCTAGGCTGGTCTGCTTGTCCTTTCAAGTGGAAATTTACCACCTCTGAAGATTCTAGATGCTGTTCAGGATTCCACCTATGGTCTTATGTAATGCAGAGACTCCACAGGAAGCCTCCTTCACTGGGCACATTGTAGCCCCATTTTAGGTATTCTAATCAGTTATAGGCAGAAGACAGACTTAGAAGCTTTCTATGGTGATATTTCTGGCTATTCCTTTCTCTCCCCCTCAAGTGTCTATTTTATAATAGTACACAAGGGAAACCAAGATTCAAAAGACAGCCAAGCATCTTAACATTATTTCCTCCTTTTCCCCCATTCCAACCATGTCTCAATCCCTGTATCCCAGAGCCCTGTTGTTCCAAGGTTGTGCATATATCATTATTTACCTCTGTCACTTAGCCCATGCACACCTGCCTAATTGTTCTCCTATCCGCTGTTCTTCCATTCTCCTCCCCCTTCTTGTGAATTGCCTCCCTCCCTAGTACCCAAACTATCCTGTGTCTGTTCTCTACCTTGTGCTCCACCTTCCCCTCCCTCCCCTCACCCTACCCCCACATCCCAATAGCCAGCAAAAATCCCCATCCCCTTCTTTTTCTTAGACTTTTACAGTAGTGGTCCTATGCAGTATTTCTCCTTTTGTGACTGACTAATTTCACTCAACATAATGTCCTCAAGGTTCATCCATGTTATGCAGTGGCTTGCAGCTTCCTTGTTATTCTTCAGGGTAGCATAATATTCCATTGTGTGTGTGTACTACAGTTTGTTTATCCATTCTTCAGTTGATGGGCACTTTGGCTGTCTCCATCTTTTTGCTATTGTAAATAGTGCTGCTATGAATATTGATGTGCATATATCTACTCGTGTTAATATGTTTTAAAATTACTGCTTTAAGGTATTTGTTAAAAAAAAACTATTTTAAATGTTTGAGTCTTTAGTGAGCTTTATTATATACACCTTCCTCTTGACTTGTGTTAAGTTGGTTCTGACTCATAGCGACCCTGTATAGGGTTTCCAAGGAGTGGCTGGTGAGTTTGATCCACTGACCTTGTGGTCAAGTGCATATCCTACAGCACCATACCAAGACCAGTTACATTTTCCAAGTGGTGATTGATTGATTGATTGATTTATAATGTATTATGCATGGTAGAAACTTCCAGTTGTTGCTTTCTGCAGTTTTTTTTGCAGTCTATAATCCTTATTATTAAGTGCCAACAAGTCAGTTCCGACACATAGCAACCCTTTGTAGGATTTCCGAGGCTTGCACATCTTTGTGTGTGTGTGTAGGCGGGGGGGAGGGCAGGTAAGCTTTGTCCCACAGAGCAGCTGGTGGGCTCAAACCATCATCCTTGTGGTTCACACTCCAGTGCTTATCATATGTTCAGTTTAGGAACCAGTAAAGCTTTGACAGGAGAGCAGTGACTCTATAGGATATGTATTGTACTGAAATTCGCAAGGTTGGTGATTCGTGCCCACCAGTTGCTCCTTAGGAGAAAGATGAGGCTTTCTGCTCCCATAAAGATTTACAGCTTTAGAATCCCTATGCAGGGTCATATGATTTGAAACTAACTCTGTGACACTTTACAACTGCAAGGCTTTGGCGTACATTTGTATACACATTTGGTGGCTCCTTCTCTGTATCCTTATTCTCTTTGGAGATTTCTACCAGTTGTCTTGTCTACTTCATACTCCCAACCTAATAAGATTATTGCTTTCTGGTTGACCCATATTCCCATGTACTGTTGTGTAAACTGGGAAGTGCCCTCAAAAGTAAAATCTATTAAATGGGGATCTCTTCTTGTTTGCTAACCTCCTTTCTATTGTCTCCAGTTTCTGCTTGTTCTTGGTTTCTCCCTGATGCCTTCAAATTGTTTTTTATAATTTTCTGATAATTTATCATTGTTATTTCTAGGAGGATCAATCTGATACAACATTCACTACTATTTTTCTGAGTTTTTAGCATTTACAGTAAAGCTTTAGGACTCTAAAAAAATACTCTGTAACAAAATGGAAAAAATCAGTTTATGATTTTACCTTTTCTAAGTTATATACTGGACTCCTGATCTAGCACTATAGGGTAAGCATTGGACTACAAACCACAAGGTTGATAGTTCAAACCCTCCAGCTGCTCCTTGGAAATCCTGCAAGGGTCACTATGAGTCAGAACCAACTCAACAGCACTGAACAACAACAAAGATATACTAGATGTTTACTAGATAGATTCCTGGTGTCATGCTGTAGGATAAGCACTGGACTGCGAACCACATAGTTGGCAGTTCAAACCTACTAGCTGCTCCTTGGTGTCGCTATGTGTCAGAACTGACATATAGGTACAACTAGATTTTAAAGATATTTCCATTTTAAAAGATAGAGAGAAGGGGAGAACCTATAAAGTAAAAGAAATATGAACTTCTTTTCATATTTCATCATGTGAACTTTTTGGGATTCTAATTTAAACAGTAAATTAAAAAAAGATTGAATCAGTCAGTAGAATTTGAGCACTGAATGTTTGACATTAAGGAATTGTTCTTTTTTTGTTATGATACTGGTACTGTTTGTTTTCTAGAAGTGGACTTTTTTTTTTTTTAAATCATATGCTGAAATATATTTGAAATGCTATCTAGTTTATGGGCAATTAGTACAATTAGTATTGAAGCTGGGAGATGTTTACATGGGAGTCATTGTAGTATTTTCTATAATTTTTGTGTATAGTTGAGGCTTTTTATAGTAATAAACATGGTTAAAATTATTTTTATACACAGAACTGTTCAGGTAAACTCTAAACTTTCTGATGGCTTTTTTAATTTTACTTTCCAGAATGGTAGCTGAATGGAGGTTATCTCGTGGTGTTGAAGAACAGACACAAGCTTTCTTTGAGGGCTTCAATGAAATACTTCCTCAGCAGTATTTGCAGTATTTTGATGCAAAAGAATTGGAGGTAACAAACATTTCTTCTTCTTCCTGCAGCATGCTAGTGTATACTGCCTTCAGATACCATTTGTCCAGTGGCAATAGTAGTGTTTATGCTGACAGGATGCTTTGGCATATTCCAGTGGTTAAAATATGTTATCTATCCAAAGATAAATGAACAGCATTAATCCTTCAAAAAAGAAAATATTTATTGCTCAAGGAACCTTGGTAGCATAGTGGGTTACAAGTTGGGCTGCTAACTCCAAGGTCAGTGGTTCGAAACCACCAGCCACTTGGTGGGAGAAAGACGAGGCTTTGTGATCCTGTAAAGATTTACAGCCTTGGATACCCTGTCCATGGTCACTGAGTCAGAGCCAACTTGATGGCCCACCACCACCATGAGGGATTCTCTATGATGAGTGATACATTTCTCTGAGTTTTTGCACACAAAGGGGGGCTTCAGAAGGCGCATGGGAAATGGAATCAAAAGGTAATAGGATTTTCCCTCCTGATTGTTTTAAGCTTCCTGGCATATATTTGGTATATATTTATTACTATAAACTAGACACCACACACTTTCATGTATAATGGAGATAACAATGCAGTTGACAAGCTGAATCCTCCTGAGCAATTTGTTTTTTGAAAGCTGTTTGATATTAGTATTTTCTTATCCATACCTAGTATTTTTTCAAGTTACAAAAATAAAAATTTGTCTCTATATCTACAGGTCCTTTTATGTGGAATGCAAGAAATTGATTTAAATGACTGGCAAAGACATGCCATCTACCGTCATTACACCAGGACAAGCAAGCAAATCATGTGGTTTTGGCAGGTTTGTTTCTTATTTCTACTGGGAGACAGTATGTTTCTTTAGAAATTGCATGTCACATATGGAAATGAGTCACAGAACAAAAAGTACCAATGTGTGCAAGCTCCACAGTGTACACTGCAATAATGCTTCCAAAAGTTTGTGGGAACATGAAAATTTTTCCATGCACATTTTTGAAGCTCCCTCATAGACATTAAGTAGATTATGTCTCACAAATAGATTGTCTTATAAATAATGTCATATAAAGATTGTAATAGCATCTTTTTAAGACTTGCCAAGTAAGCAACACACCTTACTCCTTATGCCCAGCTCTCCAGATGATAAAATTCACCTGCGTTTTATCTACATGTTATAATTTTATAAAACTGTCTGAAGTGTCATTTCCATCATTTATATACTTGTTAAGAATTAATTTTCAAAAGGCACAAGTACAAACCTGATTTGGAATCATAAGGTATCTTTTAAAAAAATGTCATGTGTGCCTGTAAAGACATTCGTATGCGTAACTCAAAGGTGGACTGAGCTTCTGTAAAAATAGGATTAGTATTTTTAAATAATTAACGGTATAGTAGGTTAAAAATTGTTCTTTACAAAATTTACTTGATGGAACCAAAAGAGTTGTCCTATAAAAATGCTACAGGTTAGCAAGCTTCTTTTAGAAAGCTAATATTTGAATCAAGAGTGGTACGAGATAAAAGCCACATAATTCTGGCCATCATCGCTGCTCTAAAACCTCAAGGACAATGAGGGAGGGAAGGTAGTTATTGATTGTATCTGGATTAATGTTTTATGAGCTTAATTTTATTAGTTCATTTAACTAAAAATTCTGTTCCAGATGAAGCGCTGTGCTTTATGTCACTACATGAATGTACTCTAGGACTATAAGTCTAGGTAGAGAAAGGGATGAGCTGGACTGGAAAAACTGATCTTGAAATTGTACAAGATTGGTAACTCTTGGGCCCTATTAGGATGTGGTCCTAAAATGTATATAGGAGAAGATAGGTGATGCTTTGATAAACATGAAAATGATCCTACATCCACAGTCTTGGGTGCAGTCATTATCTGGTACAGATGACACCAGGTATCATTTTAAAGTTTGAAATTATTTCTATTTCTATTTTAAGATGCTAAACATAACATAAGATTTACATATTTCTTAAAATGTGTTTTTAATAGTTTGTCAAAGAAATCGATAATGAGAAGAGAATGAGGCTTCTGCAGTTTGTAACTGGAACTTGCCGATTGCCCGTTGGAGGATTTGCTGACCTCATGGGTATGTATACAGCATCACCTTTCATATATACAAACTTGTTTATCTTAGTGCCATTATAGAAACATTCAAGAATAAACTATTTACCTAACTAGTCACAGTTGATGTATGTGAACTTAAATCGCTCTGTAGTCTATACCTTTGTAGAAATTTTGATCTTTGGGATACTCTCACATTTCACCTCAGGAGTCTAGCAGTCCTCTTGAAAGCTGCTTGCTCGTTCAGTCTTTTGACTAACATTTCAGTGTCTCCTGAGTTGTTGTTGTTAGTGCTATGCAATCAGTTTTGACTCATAGCAACTCTGTCTAGGGTTTCTGAGGAGTGCTTGGTAGGTTTGAGCCATAAACCTTGCAGTTAGCAGTCCAGTGCTTATCCTACAGCACCACACCAGGATTCTCCTGAGAAACCGGCAATACTTGTTGTATCATACTGTATTTTAATGGTGGGTTTGCCACTGTTTCTAGGGAATCTTTGATAAGTTGTTGTTGTTAAGTGCCATAGAGTCAGTTCCGACCCATAGTGACCCTGTAGAGGGTTTAGCAGGTTTCCAAGGGTGACTGGTGAGCTTGAACCACCAATCTTGCTGTTCAAACCAACTTTGCAGTTTAGCGCATTAACCCACAGCACCACACCAGGACTCCTCTATTCATATCTTCATCATTTTAAAATTTTTGAACAGAGTACTTGTTACATTGTAGGCACTGATGAGAATATGTGTTGTATTAAAATGAGTGACCATGAGAATATTTATTTTGCAGCTGAACACACAAAAAATATTTTGGTTGGTTGGTTATGTGTCGTAGAATTGGTTCCGACTCATAGCGACCCTGTATAGGGTTTTCATGGCTGTAAATCTGTATGACAGAAGAAAGCTTCATCTTTCTCCCATGGAACAGCAGGTAGTTTGGAGTCCAATTCATAACCTCGACGCTACCAGAGCCCCTTAAAAATAAAAAGAAGTAGATTCAAGTATTTCTTTAATACCAAAATTATTCCAGTACCATAGAAAGATACACAGGAAAGAGTGTGATTTCCTAAGCATATACTAAATACAGTAAACATTATAATAATTAAAATAATGTTGTAATAATTAAAATAAAGGAAAGATGATTGTCATTAGAATAGTCAGGAAGGGGGCCTTAAAGAAAAATGGACTTGAACAAGTCTATAAATATATACAATGAATATTATAGGCAGAGGGATATAAAGAAATAAAGGTACGAAGACATCCTTGTGGAACACTATGCATAGCTAAAGCAGAGGTCAGTATTACAGAACTAAGCACAAAATTTCTTTATACAGTGTATGAAACCAGTTTAACTAAGACTGTAAAAGCAGATCAAAAGAATTTGGATATTAACTTGGGGATATTGGAAACTTTTTGAACAGAACAATAAACTAAAATGCTGAAACATCATTTTAGGAATGTTTGATACCCCAAAATACATTGAGTTCCCCTGTGGTTAGCAGTCTAGTACTTATCCTTAGAGTGCCACATCAGGACTCATTTGGGATTGTGTTGTTGTTAAATGCTGTAGAGTTGGTTCTGACTCATAATGATGCTGTATAGGGTTTCTGAGGAACAGCTGGTGAGTTTTAACCACCAGCCTTGCAATTCAAACCAACCTTGCTGTTCAATGAATTATCCCGTAGATTGAATTAAAGCTGTTTAAAACAATACAGAAGGATACTACTAGGAGGCAAAAATCTCTGGTTTAGCCTTCCACCCATTGGAAAGTTGCAGAAGAAATTTACAAGGGTGTTCATGAGAAAGATTTCATAAGAAAATAGGTTGAAAGATAATGGAATTTTTCCACAAACTTTTGAAAGCCCCCTTGTGTATAATTCTTTATGTTGAATCATATCAGATCCAATATTCTGTTTTGTAACAAATACAGTGTCCACTTTAATATTCTAAAATGAAATTGACAGGTGAAACCTACCTACCTACATTAAGAAAAATATTTAGCACTAAGTGTAATGGTTATGAGTTGGGCTGGTAATCTTATGGTCAGCATTGCTAAACTACCAGTAGTTCTGCTGGAGAAAGATGAAGTTTTCTGCTCCTGTAAAGATTCACAGCCTCAGAAACCCTATAACAGGGTCGCTATGAGTCAGAACCAACTCCACGGCACACCACCACTGCCAGTGATAACAACTGGACCAATAAATAACATCATGATAAATGGAGGAAAGATTGAAGTTGTCAAGACATCATTTTGCTTTGATCCACTGTCAACACTCATGAAAGCAGCAGTCAAGAAATCAAATGATGTATTACATTAGGCAAATCTGTTGCATAAGAAAGACCTCTTTAAAGTGTGTCAAGAGCAAGATATCAGTTGGAGGACGAAAGGGTACTTGACCCAAACCATGCATGATATTTTCAGTTGCCTCATATGCATATGAAAATTGGATAATGATTAAGGAAGACCGCAGAATTGTTGCATTTGAAATATGGTGTTGGAGAAGAATATTAAAATTACCATGGACTGCCAGAAGAACATCCATCTCGAAGGCAGTGCAGCCAGTATGATCCTTAGGTGCCAGGATGGCTAGACTTTGTCCTCCTACTTTGGACATGTTACCAGGAAGATCCAGTCCCTGAAGAAGAACATCATGTTTGGTAAAGTGAAGGATTGGAGAAAAAGAAAACAACCCCCAATGAGATGATTGATACATGTGGCAAAAACAAATGTAGCAACAATTGTGAGGATGGTACAGGATTGGGTAGGGTTTTGTTCTGTTGTTCCACTATGAATTGGAACTGACTCAGTGACACCTAACAACAAAATAATAAAAAAGGGAGAAAGAAATGATTTATAATGAAATAATAGATATTTTAAGTACATGAATATTTGAAGAACAGCTATATTAAAAGATATAATTAGATATTTGTAACTACTTCTATCATGGAGGGTGGCGGCTAAACAATGTACGACAACTGCGCAGACCTGGTGGAGGTGTTAAATGAATCCTAGACCACAGAGCGGCGGGGTGAGAGGTGTCTGGTGACCAGGTTGATAGGGAGACGCTGCCTAGTGGGAAGAGACTGCAAGGGCCGGCCAGGTTGTCCTACTCACCCCGGACGCAAGAGTGCCTTCCTAGCCTAACCGTTGGATCATGACTTTGAGGCGGGTTCGACCAACTTAGAGACCCACAAGCTCAGCCCAAAGCGTCTCACTACAACCCAGTCGCCCCTGCTGCGCTTCTGCCTCTTGATTGACATCCAAGGACAGAAATCCCGCCTTTGAGCCAGACTTAAGGGCCCTAGCACAAGGAGATTCCTATTTAACAGCAACCACGCAACCACCACTTGCCTGTCTGTCGTGCTGTGGTGGTTTGAATTGCTGTGATTCTGAGGGCTATGCCACCGGTATTTTAAATAACCAGCAGGGTCACCCATAGTGGACAGGTTTCAGATGAGCTTCCAAACAAAGACAGACTAGGAAGAAAGAGTGACAAACTACTTCCGAATCACTAGTCACTGAAAACTCTATGAATAGCAGAGAAACATTGTCAGATACAGGACTGGAAAGTGGGAAGGCACTCAGAATGCGACTGGAGAAAAAAATGCCTCCTCCAAGTAGAGAAAAGCTCACAGAACCATCATTTGCTAATGGTCCACAAATCAAAATGAAGAGAAATGGCTGTAAACATCCATTGAAAATCAGAACATGGGATGTACAAAGTATGAATCTGGGAAAATTAGAAGTTGTCAAAAATGAA